AACAACAAAAACAACAAGGAGGGGCCACAGAACCTTAAAAAAAAAACAAAACAAAACACTGGAGATTTGGGGGGAATGATCTGCGACAAAGATCGTAAGTATATAATTTAAAATTTTATTGCATTGTGTGCGTGTTAGTACCTGCAGGGAGGTCAGAGGACAACTTGTGGGGGTTGGTTCTCTTTCCATCATATGGGTCCTGGGGATTGAACTCAGGTTGTCAGACTTGGCAGTATCTTTATTCAACGCACCATCTTACAGGCCTTGACAAGATTTTAATAAGAATAACTGACACCTGCACACTCTGTAAGGGTGTTTTGGATGGGATGTAGAAGACAGTCTTCAGCTTTAATTGTATTCTTCCTTCCTCAGCCAAGCATTCAGATGGTCCACAGAGTTCATTTCTCAAAGTGGATGGTAGGCAGCTTTGGAGCCAATCCCTTGTTACTGAGCTAGGACAGTGTTCCTTTCTATTTGATGGCTCAGACACACTGGCTCTGAATAAAAGAAGGCAAGGATTGTTTATACCTTTAGATTTCAGAGCGTGTAGGGCAAAGGAATATTTTAAACATGGTTTAACATGACCCCTTGGGCTGTTTGTCAGTCCAGCTGCTCCTCAGAAGGCTGAAGGAGCAGAAACGGGGGTTGAGAAACAGGCAGCTTTTGTCTGTGGCCAGACACAAATGGCTATCCTCATTTTCCAGGAATTCTTACAGATGGAAAGGACCATGGAGTTACCTTCTGGGCCCAAGTCTAGCAGAGAAAGCTACAAAAAGATGCACGAATCGCAGTGAAAGTTACAATAGTCCAGATAAGCCCTGTGGGGATCTAGGAAGGCATACCCTTTCACTGTGGCTATTTTCTACTCTCGCAAGAACTATACTCCAGACTTCTTAAGCCAACTGGCTGCCATTTAGGCCCATTCAGACACAAATGAAAGGACAATAGCCACTGTCCAAAAATCCTAGCAAACATGGGCAGGGAAGATGCCTCAGTACAGGTAAAAATGTTAGTCACACAAGCCCGATGTCCTGAGTTCAATCCCCAGAATCCAAGGGGGGCGGGGGACAGATGAGAGGGCTCACATGTGTGATCCCAGCACTTCTAAGGCAAGACAGAACATGGATAAGAATTCACCAGGAGCTCATGGGCTAGCGAGACTGGCGTCCACAGTGCAGCAACAGAAACAGGAGAGGCCCCTGCCTCGACAAGATGGAAGGGGAGAACCAACTCCGGAAGGTTGTCCTCTGACATCACATGCACACTTGTACTTAAAAGATTGTTGTATCATAAAACCATACAACTATTAAGTATGTTTGTAATTGCTTAATGTACATATATAGACAACTTTCAGTCACCCCCTTTTTTTTTTTAACCCTGACTTCTTCATTCATCAGTTTTGTGAGATTCTGGAAACCTAGATTGCAGTCTGGTTTTAGTTTTGGTATTTATTTTTTAATATTTTATTTTTATGAGTGTATTGCCTGTGTGTAGGTAAGTGCACCTGTGTCGTGCAATGCCTGCGGAGCACAGAAGAGGCTGTCGGATCCCTTGGAACCGGAGTTAGGGACAGTTGTTAGCTGCCATATGGGTGCTGCGATTCGAACCTGGGTCTTTTGCAAGAACCACCAGTGCTTTTAACTGCTGAGCCATCTCTCCAGCCCCGGTTTTGGTATTTTAAAATCACAGGTTAAATTAATGTCAATGGCAGGTACATAATCAAGACAGGTAGTCAAGCTAGCCAGTCACCACACCCACAAGATTTTACATTCTTGATCTGGTCACTACCCTTGTCTTACCACTTGGTCTTGGGCAAATGACCCCATTCCTCAGGTAAAGGGGTGGTAGCAACAACATGTGCCTAACTGGTTGGGGTGTGGTGTGGATTAACTCACAAGTGCCTATCAACAAACAAAAATGCTGAATTCTACAATGCAGGGCTTCCTGCCTCTGAAGGAAGCATGGCGAAATATTCAGTTTGCCATTCAGACATTACATGCCTACAGCCTGCTCAGGTTTCAGTCGCCTAGCCTACATCCAAGTGGAAGTTTCTAGAGCTGAGGCTGACAGTTATGAGAGTTTTGCGTTGCAAACATATGAAGCCACCACACCACCTGGCTCCTGTCGGGTAGTGGGAGGGATCAGGTAGCCTCTTCGGTAATCTTAAAACTAAGCTTTCTGGTCAAAATGCAGACGTGGGAGACAGGTACCATGGAGGAAGTCAGAGTGCAGCCTAAACATCATGATGCATGGCTGCTTCCGTTTATTATATGTTAGAAGCCTATTATGTTGAGGGCTGTAGAGATGGCTCAGCAGTTAAGAGTAATGACTGTTCTTGCAGAAGACCAGGGTTCAGTTCCCAGCACCCACATGGCAGCTCAGAATTCCAACTACCATCTAAGAGATCAGACACACTCATCTGGCCTCTGTGGTCACCAGGTACACATGAAGTGCATATACACAGATGCAGCCAAAACACTCATATACATATACATAAAATGAATCTTAAAAAAAAAAAACTATTAGGTTGTTCTTTGCAACTCTAGATTCACCATGGTAATTTTTTTATCTCAGGGTCAGGAAGACCACAGGACAAAGGAAGCTCACAGAAAGGACTGGACTGCAGAGAGGCTCTGCCACAGAGTGGCATGCCCATGGGCACTGACACCAAATGCTGCCACCTTTGCTCAACTGAATTTCAATCTGCTTAGGAATGAAACAAAATTATACGTAACTCTGAAAGTTGTCAGAAGTGAGGATACTGAAATTGTCACTAGCCTGTTCTAGTTCGTTTAAACTATATGGCAAATATTTGGTTACAGAGATCTAAGTTCAAATTCAACTCTATGTGGTAAGACCCTAAACTGGATCTACAGATCAACAGATCCTTTACAAAGTTTGGGACTACACTGTGCCAGGTAAAATGAGTTAATTCAAAATACACCCAAATGATCATCCTCATCTTCCTAGAAAACCAAATTGGATGATTCCTTTATTAAAAAGTACTACAATGAAATACTTCACATTAAAGGAGTCTTAACCTTGGATTAAATTCCAGAAGGTATCTTTTTTTTTTCTTGCCAAGTGTAGTTTAATATGTCTATAAAACTGGTAAATCTTACCTGTGCTAAGAAAATACATAAAATTGCTCATTAGTCAGACTACGACCTAGTCCAACTTTGAAGTTCTTGTTGTAAGTCACCTTATCCTGCTTCCTAATTTAAATACATTAATGACTCTAGAGGCGCTCACTGTAAATACATCTCTTCCACAAGGCCCTACACTCTCATCTTCTGTGCCTCTCAGAACTAAGTGCTAAATAATTAAAAATAAATTTCATTGAACTGAGAAGGAAATTTTATAAACATTTCAGTTTCCAGTACCTTTTCTAGTGCAATCATGGTATTAAAATAATATGGTGCACACTCTTTACCTGTTGCTTCTGCCTTTGGGTGTACTTCAGTGGTACCTGTCCTGAAGGCTTAATTGAAATCATCAGAGTAGTTCGCTTAAACAGAAGTCTTTACCTCTGAAATATTTCCCCAACCCATCACTGAGATGAGCAATCTCCCAGCTGGAATTCCTTGCTACCTTTTAAAAACCACTGTGGCCATATTAATAAAGACAAAAATATCACCCCACTTCCTTGAATAGAACCTTCCAATGACTTTGTTTAGTGCTTAGAAAACCGAAGCCTCCACGAGGGCCATCTGGGCCATGTAAGCTCTGGCTCTGGCCTTCCAACTCTTCTAGGCAGAAGCGCTGTTCTCCTTGTTCCACATCAGTCCCAGTTTAAGGTTTTTTGCACTGATTATTCCCTTTGCCTGGAACATTCTGTAGTCAGATCTTGGTCTGCCTACTGCTTTTCATGGCTCAGACTGAACTTAGCTGCGCCTCTTCAGACCTTCGTCTTTGCCACCCTATCCCCTCATTGAATAGTCTTCTTTGCTCTGCCAAAACTTACTTATAATCCGCCTGTCATCTTCCTATAGAACAAGCACCATGACAGCAAGAGACCAGTGAATGCTTACCTGTGACTCTTCATTACATTGCATAGTGGTTAGGAGCCTAGGCTTTAAGGGCAGGTCAATCTGAGTTCAAACACCAGGTCATGCCTGCAATTCAGTACCTCTATGCTTTGTTTGGTCAAGCTCATCTTTTCAAAGACTTGGTTTCTTTATACAATAGAAATACTTGAGGAGTAACAGAAACTCAAACACACTAACTGCAACTCAAGTTTACTTAGCTGGAGTTTGTACTGTTTTAAGCTCTCATTCAATGGGCTTCCTTTTGAAACTGTGCTCACACCTGTAATCCCAGCATCTGGGAGACTGAGGCAGAGGAGTGAAAGTTCAAGAGCCTTCCTAGGCTACATAAGTCTCATCAAAACACAATTAAAAAATCTGTTAATTCCCAAGCCTCAAACACAAGATGCAATAACGAAGAGGCAAATATAAAAAATACAGAAACACCAAATGCTTTAGATCATCCCCATATGATTATTCTTCCACAGAACCTAAGAATGCATCACTTCAGGAGGGCCAGGTGGGCGCTGGCTCAAACCGAGCTCCAGCACGTAATGTGAACCAGTTGCAACCCCGTGTCTCAGCTTCCCCATGGGAGAATGGTTTCCTTCACCGGCCAAGCAGCTCGGCAGCAAGAGTACAGGCACCTTGTTCACACCACACACAACACTGGTTAACAGACTGCATTGAAAATATTCTTTAGGTAAATTCAAGACATAGTATCAAGAATTCATTCCATTGGAAGAAAAAAAGATGTATTTTCCAGTGTGGAAATTTGAATGACTTCGACTACTGTAGAGTGGGCATTGACTTGTGAGTTCAGAGCACTCACAGGCTGCAGGCCCCTGATGCCTTTGCTTTGAAGACCATCATCGTTCTTAACATTTGATGCTAAGAGGGGAACTCATGCTGCATTCTCTGTTCACAAAAGCTCACAGAAGATTTTCCAGAAAATAAAGAATTTTAGGAATAGACCCTTTTATAATGCATTTTATTAAACGAATTCTCCCTACCAAAGTTAAATATTCAAGTTCCCTGTATTTTGTGCAGGTCTAGTCTTATTTTCCATGTTCAAAGAAATCCATTTCAGAAGACATTCTAAGGCACTTCCTGCAGGCCAGTTAACTTTCCAGATTTAACAGTAATGGTGGTTCCAAGTTGTTTCTCTTCCACAATTGTAATGGGGATATTTTCATCTTGGATAGAAGTCAGCTGAATATCACTGTACAAATGAAATTTAGACAAGCTGTCCTGTCACATGTGGAGTGGAGGCTGACCTGTGTGTGCACTGGGGGAGGTGTGGAGGAAGGTGGCAGACCACAACAATTTCATCCTCATACCCTCCTCTTCTTTTTTGCTGGATGGAAATAGGGTTTGTCTGTTCAAACAACATAGAAAATAGATTTAAATCTTACTCTAAAAGTCAAAGGGGTCAATAAACTCAGCTCTTGAGTCTGGATGAATGCACGTGTGTGCACACGTGCTTAAGTGGGTCCATTTTAGTTCCACATGGGTTTTTCCACACACTGGTTCCTGGCATCAAGCTCTGGTCTGCAGGACACCAGAGCGCCTTTGTGTCCCTTGCTGACACTACGGCATTGTGCTTTTCTACCCATTATCCAAGGATAAATGACCTAGATAGTGTGCCTATTAAAGCCTCATTTTTCTTTTGCCCTTTTGTTCGTCAGTATACCACATTATCACATGCTGCACACATTTTAAGTATTCTTAGTCTCAGACGCCCTTTTGGGAGAGTTGTAGGAGGATTTTGTGTGCCTGTCTATTGAGATATCTAGCAAGGAATTACATGAAGATAATTCAAGGTTTTCCTCTCCGTCTCGTCTTGAAGACAGTTTAGTGTATTACTAACAGCTAGTCTAGTATAAGAGGATATATTGACAAACTGTACAAAAGCCAGAGTGCTGTATCTGCATCTATTATGAATACAAAAAAATAGAGTGAACACCAGTTCCCCTACATACTACGTTCTCTAATTACATCTGCATATCATGGGTCACTTTTATTAAAAGCATCATTACTACAGTTGGCAGCAATTTACAATTTTATCTTACATGATAGCAGTTTTCAAAGAAAAAAATAAAAGGACATCACAACAAAGAAAAACAATACATTTACAAAGTCCTGTCTGTAAACTTCAAGGCTAGTTTAGAGCTGAGGTAATGCTGTTTTAGCTTTGTGGCTAAAGTAACAAAGTCCTTTAATTTAAAAAAGGTACCTGATTCTCACTTCTCTCTTTTATTTACTCTTCTATTTATTTTGTTTATACCAGTGCATTACAAGGACCACGAGACAATGGAACTGCAGTTCTGTCTGGCAAGAACCCTCCCAGTAGGTTAATTTTCCAAAGGGACCCTTCACATTCAACAGCTGCCTTATTATTGCTGCGCCTCGGGATAGAGGCGTTCACACTAACGTGGAGATTGTCAGAGTGTATGGATGTGTGTGTATGCGCAAGTGTGGGAACCCCATACAGTCAAAAAGGGAAACGAATGGGCAAGTTATGATATGTATGGTAAATTTCATCTTGACCTTCACAGCAAAAATTAAAAGTTAAAATTAAAAAATTAAATATATAACTTCATACTTCCTCTGAGCAGCACGTCCTTCCACTAATGCTGCCCCATTACAAACTGCTCTTTATTATAATACCAACGGTACCAAAGAAGAAAGCAGAGCATTATGTAGGTTTCCTTAAAAAGACATGATCACCTTAAATTTCATCTCTCCTAGGGATAATAAATAATGCACTGCACAATACTTAATGACCAAGATACCTTCGGACACACCTGCATAACATGACTTGGACTTTTTTTTTTTTTCCTTTTTTTGCTACACTATGTTACAGAACAGCTTATAAAACTAGGTATGAACATTAACTGTGAGTGTAAACAGTAGGACTACCACTTGTCAAAAGTTTGCAACACTTTCACTGGAACTGTACTGTCACTCGTCGTTTCCGTGGTTTTCTATCTCATCACCCCCATCGAGGGAGTCCAGCTCTTCACCCTGTGCTACCTCGTCTTCTAAGACAGAGGACTCTGCAGTCTTGTCCAGGCTCTCCTCGGCATCGCTGCCTTCCAGGGTCTCTCCATCTTTACAGGGGCCTCCCTCGGCCTTGTCAGCAGTCTTCTCTTCTCCGGCACCCACGGCATTCTGGAGTCCTGCCAGTGCTGGGAAGCCAGGCAGCGTCAATCCCCCCAGTCCTGGAGGTAGAAACATGGATGGGTAGAAGAGGCCTGGGGCCATGGTGGACAGGAGGAAAGGGTTAAAGGCCAGTGGGTTGGAGGGCAATCCAGCAGGGGCAGTAGCAGCACCAACAGATCCGTTTGCAGAGTCAGTGGCCGAAACAGTGTCTGTGCTTTTCTCGGAGTCTTTGTTCTCGTCTTCGTTCTCATTTCCTTTCTCCTCCACTTTTGAAGTGCCATCCTCCGGTTCTCCTTGACTTGAAGCAGTAGTGGTGTTTCCAGTAGCAGCTGAGAGAGGGTTGTTGAGCAGCCCACCCAGGCCAAACACATTGGGCAGCCCTGCCATCCCCGGCAGCATCAGGGGCAGCACGGCAGCAGGGTTCTTAGCTTCGCCTCCAGCAGTGGCAGCTGTGGCCAGTCCTGGAGGGAAGCCCATGAGCCCTGCCAGCTGGAGGGACTGGAGGTTCTGGAGGTTCTGAAGGCTCGTCAGGTCCATCCCAGCAAACAGGCTGTTCACTAACAGAGGGTTGATCCCTGAAGTGGAGGCCACAGCAGCAGCCGCAGCGGCTGCCCGGGCAATCTCGCTCTTGGGCCTTCGTCCTCTCCTGCTCGCTCCTTCTCCCCGCACCACAGGTCCAGTGAGAAGACGATCAAACATGGACTCGGGAACAAAACCCTGGAGGACAGGGAGAAGCAGACAATGGCTGTAAAGGCTGAAGGAGAACCCTCAGTGTCAGCATGGGCCTTTGTGATGAGCTGACAGTGACACTCTAAATAGAAATGTACAGCAATTCCACTCTAAAAGCTTAATGTTAAAACTTAGGAAAGCACAAGTTCTGTTTTTTTAAACCATTATATTAGCTTGCTGAATTGTGCTGAATTGCAGAAAAAAAAAAAACTGTTCAAGGCTACTCCACCACCGAGGTAAATGCCAAGTTAACTGCACCCATAATTAACTTAAGGACTGGCACGTCAGAAAGCAGCTGATGACTGGGGTAATCAGTACATGATGTGCATCTGTGTGTCATACACCTTAAACACAGATCATTTATGTCTGTCAATTAATTGTCAAAAACCTGTCAATTTAAAAACGGTTATATGAGAAAAAATTATAAAATGTATCATGAAAAAATTGTGTATAAGATATTCCATGCACTCTATGTGCTCTGAACAGTCCAAACATAGGTAAGAAGAAGAAAAAAATTGTAACAATGTGGAAATTTTAATTAGTTAAAATCACATTATTTACCCTGGAGAAATGGAGAAGTGTTTATACCAAAACTATGTTTACAGCAGTTTTATGCTTAATTCCAAAAATCTGGAAAAAACTGAAAAGTCTTCTAGTGAGTGATGGACCAACATGTGGTAGTCATGCATGGGAGAACTCGGCAAAGAGGAGGAGCAGACTATTGACAGACACATCACCCTGGGTGATGCAATACACTCAGCAAAAGGACATCGTCTCAGGTTACGTGTTTCCCACTTCCACTGTATAACAGGTGCCAAAAGACAGAACTCTAGGGATGGAGAATAGGTCAGGAGTAGTCCGGGATAAGGACCCCAAGGTTAGGGAACTCTGTTGTCACTGTGGTGTGTCAGTTTATAAAACTATAGTTGTGCTATAATTGACAGAACTCTATGCCAGAGGCAATCTAACTGTATAATTTAAACAAAGCAATTAGCATGTCTTTAATTTGTTTAAAAAGAAAGCTAACAATGAAAAAAATTTTATGCAGAATTGCTTTACTTATTTTAAAATAAACTGGAAATCAAAGCTAGTCATTCTAATGGTCTCAACCAGCACAAATGCCATGGTGCCCATGCTGTTAAATGGGCTCACCTGGAGCAAGTCCACCTCCATGGCTGCCAGTGTCTACATCTACAGAACCTCTTTAAATCAGAGCTGACAAATCAGTTCACTTCAGATTGATGATGTATTGTGGAAGAAATGATGATGTATGAAAATGATGCATTATGGCAATTCTTTTAAGCTAAGAATAAGTTACAACTGAATAATTAATAGCCAACAGAAAAATAAAAACTCAGGAATATAGTTTTGCATGAATTTCTTGATAGAAATGTGGAGTTTGTACTTACAGACTGTTTAACTATATCAGTCCAGTCTGGAGCAACTGCAAATTCAGGATTCTCTTCCAGCCACCTGGGTAGATCCTTCATTGGAGGGGCCATGGCTCCACCCATCTAGGAAAAGTGTTTGTTGACCACCTGAACAGCAGAGGCTTCTCTCCCATATCCCCTCATCTCCCCAAACGAACGAACACACACACACACACACACACACACACACACACAGATTCTAGAAGAATGGAATTCTTTTTCCTTATCAATGATGGCAGGGTAAAACACTTCTTACTGGGTTAAGAAATCTTACAGAGATCAATTCCCTTTTCCAACATTTACCTTCTTCCCATTTCGTTTATTAACAACAGGAACCCTTTCTTCGCCTGTTAAAGTGTTTATGTCCAATTTATTAGGGTTTCGACATCTATGTCGTTTCTGTTTCGGTTTCTGAAATGAGGAAAACAGCACATCTGCATTCTTCTGCAAAAGAAAAAGAGTATTTAATAAAACTCTATTTAGTCCTGGTCTCTTCTTACATAAATACCTAGGAGAGCAGTTCCAATTATTACAAAGTTTTAACCATCATTTCCATTTACTAGAAACTACACTTTTCTAAGAAAGGATCTCCCAGTTTAATTGGTCTATCAAACAGATAAACTGAGACCGTGCTTCATCAGGAATCTCATCTACTGGTTTTTGTATGGGGCTGGTAGGTCAGTGGGAGAGTACTTACATAGCACTTGTGAGCACCTAGGTTCAATCCCCAGTACCAGGGAATAAAAAGGTTCAGGGCAGGGGGCAGGGTGGTGTATCTTCAAATGTTTATGCAAACTATGCTTTTATTTTTTGTTATTATTTATTTTCTTTTGTTTTGTTTGAAACAGGGTCTCACTGTAGTTCCAATAGGCTACAACTGGCATGAACTCCCTCTCACAGAGACCAGGCTGGCCTTGATCTCAGAAATCTGCCTGCTTTTGCCTCCTGAGTGCTGGGATTAAAAGCTTGTGCCACCATACCTGGAAAATCATGGCATTTTTTAATAAAACTTTCTACAATACTTTTACTAATTTCTAGTCATGACATAAATGAACTCAGAGATGATATCCTATCTGACAAGACCAAGTTTTGTCTGTGAAAAGAGCCATCTGAGATCTTAAAAGTTCTTGGTGGTAAGGGAGTGTTCTTAGTAGCAAGAATTGAACAGATCTCAACGAAAAAACATAAAGCAATAATCACAAAGGCATAGAAAGTAAAAAAAAATTTGTGTTAGTAGGTAGGCAGCATTGTATGCAACAAATCATACAGAATTCAAACTGATATTGAATGTAAAACAAAGGGTTAGTTACTTAAGAAGTAATTAATAAAATCTTGGACCAGAGCAACTGGCCAAATCTCAGGAGACAGCAGGTTTCTACTGGGCTGGTCAGGCCTTGTCTGAAGCCCAATCAAAGTGCACTCAAGACTGTCATCCCAAAGTCAAGGCACACTGAAGTCAAGCTATGTGAAGAAATCAAACTGCTGGTGGGAGAAGTAAGTATGGAAATGAGTAACAGACATCTTCAAGAAACTGTGAGGCTGTCCTTTACTAGGACAGGCTATAACCAGTTTCTCTAAAGTAGAAGACATGGCAGAAAACTGGAAAACATGTGAACCTGGAGTCATTCGAGCCAGGTAAGAAGGAGCAGATGGGCCCAGCAAGGCTCCTGCCAACCCCAGACTCTGCGATACTTACTGGTACGTAACTCGGCATATCAACAGTGTAAGTAGGATGCAGCTTCAGCCAGTCAACCAAATCCTTGTTCTTAGGAGCATCTTCCCCCACGAGCCTCGTCCCATCTTCAAGATTTATAACAGGGATCCGCGTGTCAGGGTCCAGTTGTCCGGGAGAAGGAATGTTTCTTATTGGAGGGGTCTCTATATCGTCTTCAAAAGCTTTGGTCACCTCAGCATCCTCCTGCAGAAAGTGGACAATGTCTGAATTACCACATGAAGAGATTCTGAGAATTCCAGGAAAATGCTCTCTGTTCCAATGGGTCTTTCATCAAAAGGGAAAGGCTGTCTGAAACAATGTCATCTTAAGATGACTTTCAAATTAGAAGACGACACTTTCACATAGGGTAGGACTAGTACTGAAGTAGGAAACTCAAAAATCTATCAGGCTGTGTTTTGAACTGCCATGCAGCCATCAGGGCCACCATTAGGATGCTAGGTGGTCTGAGCTAGGGTCTATGAGAGGTCGCTTTTCCTTTCGGGGTCCCTGAATATTATTCCAAGCACCAATTTATAAGTAACTAACTTATCAGCTCTCTGTGTACAGTACAATTTTGGTGACAGAGTGACATTTTGTATTAGGTAGCATGGCAACACTGAAATTAACATTCCACCACCACCAGTCACTGGTCCTTAAATGCTGCTCTTTTACCCTTCATCCCCAAGACTTCATCTTTTCCCCTTATGTTATGACAACTTTCCTTATTCTAGGTCCCAGCCTCATCCAACCTCCATGCAGCTACACGATATAGCCTTCTTCTAAAACGCAGTAAGCTCTGCCTGGTTCAAAAGCTGACACCCAGCCACTCCCCTACTTAACTTACTTTAGTAACTAGCTCCGTTACCTCAGGACTTCCCCAAATTCTTGAGCATGACACTCAAGGCCTTTCACAATCTGCATTCTGTCTCATCTCCACATCACATCGGCTTTACTTCATCACCAATTCACCAGCAAAACTTTCAATGAACCAGACATGAGAGGCACTCTCCTGCCTCCATCCCTCTGTTCTAACAAGATCTCCAAAATTTAATGACAGATAACCACCTTCAAGGAAATTTCCTCATGGGTTCCCCAACCACCTTCCTACCCTCCAAGCCTTCATTTGAGCTCACAGAGCACTGAGTCATGCCTTGCTTGTCAGCACACTATAAGACATTGCTAAGTTGGGTTTCCTCATAAAAAAGATTCTTAGAACCAGGATATGCTTTGTAGTCTTCAATTTTTGGAGATTATACACACACACACACACACACACATACTGTCAGACATGTTGGGGTTGGGATTCAAGTCTAATCATGAACTCATTGATGTTTTACATACATCTTCACCACATAACATTAAGGTAATTTTCATGCAATATTTTTGATGTAGCTGTATTTAAATTTTTTTCATTTGTTATTGTGTGTGGGGTGTGTGTGTGAGTACACATGTATGTGCATGCCATGGTATACATGTGGAGGCCAGAACAACTCTGTGGGTTCAGTTCTCTCCTTCCACCTTTATTTACATGTATTTTGGGAATCAAACTGAGATCACCAGACTTTTGTAACAAGTGCCTTGGTACATGGAGTCATTTTGCCGTCCCAGAAGCTCTGTTTGCCTGTGACCTTTCATGTGAGGTGAAGTGCAGAATTTTCTAGTTCCTGTGTTATGTTGGTGCCCAGAAGTTTCAAACTTTGGAGCACTGTGGATTTGAGATGTTTTGACTGGACATGCTCAAACTATTTTGTCATCTCACCCTAAACACTGACTTCTCTCATGCAACCCCTGGTATATGAGGACTTTACTCTTCTAATCTCAGTGCCTGGTACAGAAAACACAGCTTTGGTGATACCACTGGAGGCATCCTGACCCTCTGTGGTGGCAGGGGCAGTGTAGTGTGGACGAAACTGCGAAGGGCGTGCCTGCACCACACTGCTGCCCTAATACCTCTGCCCCACTCAACACCACCCTATTTTATTTATATGCACATCAACTTCTGTAATGGGAAGATCTCTAATGTATAATATCTAACAGTTTTTTAAAAAGTCCTTAAAAATACATTCGCTAACATTTAATAAGTGTTCTCTTAGACTTGAGCTGACTTGTTAAATGTAACCTTACAAAAAGAAAAAAAAAATTAGTGTATTCTTGGTGGTGGCTTAAAAAAAGTAAAATGAATACAGTCAGCTTCAAGCTTAATTCAGGGTTTGCCCTTGCTACTGGAATAGCCCCTGGGCTACACTAGTAATTCCTAATACTCTGTCCACAGACAAGTAAGTATGCCTAGTTATGCAAACCTCAAATATGGCAGGAAATGCAAAGAAATGTCAAGCTATACAAATTCTCCAATTTTCTGATATTTATGGAGAAAAGATGTTTTAGGCAACAAAAATCTGTCAGGGAGCTAGGGTAGTTTACCATACAAGACACTAGAGGTACGACTGTCTGATGTGAGGCCCCTCGAAAATGCATGCTAACGTGTAGAACAGGTGCTTTGCCACAGTCGATCCATTACAATCTGTATTTGTCTAAGATTCTGAAAAGAGCCCTACAAGTCACATTATGTCACTGCATTAACAACCCACTTAACTCTTGGCCAGACTGGATAGTTCTGTTCTCCCTCCCACCAATGAATGTTATTTTGTCATTTCCCAAACATACCTTTTCCAACTTTATAAAGCCTTTTCTCTAGGCTCAAGAAATAGAAAATGGAGGCTGGGAGTTGTGGTGCTCACCTTTAATCCTAGCACTTGGGAGGCAAAGGCAGGTGGGTCTCTGCTCTGTAGATCTCTGTGGTCTACAAAGCAGGACCCTGCCATAAAAATGGGGTATGTGGGGGGTGGGGGTAGAGATGGAAGCAGGGGAGAAATGGGTTGAAAGACACAGTTTTTTCTTAATCTGAAATTATAGCATTTCCCAAACTACCTATGGCCCATGGAAAGGCATGTGGTGATCAAGCCCAATGTGGTTCTATAGATTAGTTTCGAGTTGACAGCTGAGTATATGAAGCCCTTAACCCTTCCAGGAGAGAGCCCATGAAATGCAGTTCTTTGGGCAAAATCCTTGCCATCAGAGAATGAGAGGTCATATTTTGGGATGATGTGGTTGAGGCAGCTAAGAGAAGAGAATTTTTTAAAAAATTATACTATATTGATTTCCTCTGAATTAAAAACTCACTGACTACCCCCCCACACACACACTCCACATGCACACTAAAAATGTGTCTCTTACTTCTACAACAACTAGTTATGGAAGTGGGAACATTCAAAGTCACATTTAGACTGAAGTCTGAAACTTAACATTTATACTCATCTAATTAATGCCAGGTCCAAAACATCAATTATTTCTAAGAGCAGAAGCTTTGCCACCTCAAGAATTGAGAGATAAAAACTGTATGTGCAGGGCTGGAGAGATGGCTCAGCAGTTAAGAGCACTGACTGCTCTTGCAGAGGACTGGGGTTTGATTCCCAGCACCCACATGGCGGTTACGAACTGTCTTTAACTCCAGTTCCAGGGGAATCTGAAGCCCTCTTCTGATACATAAAATAAAAATAATAAATAAAATATATTTTTTTAAATTGTATGTGCAGAAAACCTTGTTTTTGTTTTGCCTTCTTCTTTTAAGAGTAATCAATACATCAGAACTGCACTTAGAAAAAATCCTCACACTACCCTTGGTTCAGGCTGAGTGGTCTATATCAGCAATCAAAATTTTCTGGCTCAGAATCATGACTTTGCTCATTGTAACTTTGTTTCTCTGGTGGTAGAAGCCAGTTTTACTATGATGTCGCTGAGAGGAGTTGGTTGGGTCAGCAGTCCAGAGTTCCTGGCTGTCAATGTGGGTACACGCAGGGGGAATAAGCCTCCAACTTACTGCACTCAATGCCGTCCGCTTGTGGCTCATGAAAAGCAGGTCGAGGCCCTCCACGTTTTTCCTCCTGCCCCGTCTCCTCTTCATGGGGGGCTCTCCATCTACCAGGGAGCCATTGAGTAGATGCCTTGTGGGTGTGCGTGAAAGGCCTGCTTGGAGCAGTTCCATTTGAGTCTTAAAGGCATCAGACACTGGTGTCGAGACATTGGGCAAGATAAACTTTGAAGTAGGAGATGAAAAATTTGAGGTAGAACTTGTTGCTTCCCTTGAGGCCTTTGATAAATCCACAACTTTTTCTTGTCCATTTTCTGGGACCACCTGAGACTCTCGCAGCTGGGCAACCATCTCCATGAGATTTCGCCTCTTGGCAGCTCTTTCGGCCTCTATTTCAACCTTTCGCCTCCGCCGTCGCCGCTGGCGAGGGACAGACAAGTTGAGGGCATCTTCCTATTGAAAAATCCCAACAGAAGAGAGTTACGACAAGTTGAGACTGTATCTGCCATAGGGGCTGGCATTAGGAAAAACAAGGCATCCAAGGAACTAAACATTTCCTGGGGTGGCCACAGCTAGAGAAATAGTAGCCATCTTATTTGGAAGTCCCACTAGTCAGCTGGGTATGGGTGATGTGTGCCTATGATCCCAGCTAATCAGGAGGCGAAAGATCACGTGAGCCCAGGAGTTTGAGGCCAGTACAGGCAACCCAGACAATCAGGTAACAAAACCAAGTAGGACTAGTATGCACAAGGCTCTGAAACCTGCCAAGAGTTAGAGAGACTTCCTTTCAACTGCAAAAGCAAACTGCTACACTTACCTTGGACAACTGAGGAGATGTGCTGACATCCTCACTTCCACTAATGCTGGCCTGGCTGACCATGGAGAGCTCAGTAAAGCTCCTCTTCTGTAGAGGGCTGTCCATGGTGGAGGGCGTGTAACCAGGGACCAGGCCCTGGAAATCAAACATCTGGCGCCGATTTACTGGCCATTTGCCTTTCAGCACGGCTTCACAGATGTTGTCTAATCGGTTTATCATTACTCGGTCCTAAAGGAAGAAGAGGCACAGGAAATTTGTAACAAAGACCTATTTAAAATTATTAGGTAAATACATCCATCAAGATGCTAAAGAGCACAAAACACTTAAAAGGCCAATTATTGGGGGTAAAACAGCCAAATGAGAAAGTAAACCAACAAAGTCTATCAAAATAGTCTTGCTCTCATGGAAGGTCCTAGGTGGCTCAACTACAGAAAAATTACTATTTTCAATTATATACTCTCTGAACTACAGAAAACATTAAGTGAACCATGCCTTCAAATTATCTAAAATTTTAAGAATAACTCTCATTCAGGCTTCAAGAACTGTTGGTGTACCTCAGTGGAGAACAATGGAGCCCCTGTACTTAGTATCTTAGGGCTCTGGCCCTTCAGATCCACAGGCCGGGTATAGTGTATCCCAGGAAGGGGGACATCATTAGCGTCACTAACCTAGAAACGCGTAATGAATGCCAATCTGAATTCCCCACCTATTATCGCTCCAAATTTCACTGAAGTGTACACATTAAAATTTTCTAATTACAGCTCCTTAGACCAGGTTTCCACAGATTAACAGTACCTGTGACTCTAAACCTTTGACTGATTGGAGAAACTCCTCTCTAGACTCAATATGGGAGATTAGTACAACTGGGAACCAAGGAGACACAGAGAGGAAGAGAACCATCTCTTTGACAGCATACTCCAGTCAAAAATGTTATCTGTTTCTAAAGCCACATTAACACCACCGAGGCTGGCTTGGAATGAGCCATTTCAAGCCCAGTTTATGTGATATTGCTTTCAACTAGATAGCTCCTGTCATGGCATTTGGGATGATTACTTCCCACCCAGGAAAAAGACCCAAATGGCATGGGAGAAAATACAGAATTAAGTTACTTAACAAAACAGCTGTTTCCCTTTGCCTTGGGATACTGATAATTCCATCAGGAATGATGTCATGGTGTACCAGAGCAAATAGGTCCACCACCCACCCTCTCAGGAGGTTTGTTTCTAAGCATGTTATCAAATAAGATTTAAAAAAAATATTTATCATTTTTATTTTTTGGATGAGTATATTGCCTCCATGTAAGTGCACCTGTGTTGTGCAATGCCTGCAGAGGTCAGAGGAGGGCATCAGATTCCCCTGGAACTGGAGTTACGGACAACTGTTAGCTGCCACATAGGTGCTACAAATCAAACCTGGGTCCTCTGCAAGAGCAGCCAGGCTCCTAACTGCTAAGCCACGACTCTAGCCCATCAAGTAAGATATTTTTGAAGTTAAAAACATGGTCCAAAGGTCCACATTTTACCAAAAAAAAATTATCAAAAGGCAAATCCATCGAAATAATAACCCAGAGATTCTAACAGAAAACAGGGGTGACTGTCTAAAAAGCCCTCAAGTGTGAAGGGCATTTACTATTATCTTTCTACCTTGCCATCTCTCTCTCTTTTTTTGAAAAACCTAAGGAGTTTATTGGGCTTGCTAATAGAACATAGAGTAAGGGTTTATTTACAGAAAAGTGGGCACACCCCTCCCCCCATTATGGCTGCTCTAGAAAGCCCACAGTCAAATGCCATCTTTCTTCTTACAAAGGAATTCTAAATGTTTTTGGTTTGGGTTCTTTTTGGTCATTCTGGCCTGGAACTTGCTATGTAGACGAGGCTGACCTTGAACTCACAGAGATCTGCCTGCCTCTGCCTCCCTCCCAAGTGCTGGGACTAAAGGCGTGTGCCACCATGCCTGGTTTTCCTGATCATTCTTTAAAAATGTAGGAAAATTCTGCAGCTTCATGTGCTATGCCAGTGTTTACCTCAGAATTACTTAAAAAAAAAAAAAATCTAGAAAGATTTTTCTCCCTGCTTTCTTTTTTAGTCAACGAAATAATCACAGTAACAAAAACCTGCTAACCTTGGGCCAAAAGGAGAAGGCAAATGTTCTTTCATGAAGCAGCTGAGCGACTGAAGGCTCTCCATCCTCGATGTAGAATCCATCCCGAGTTTCATCCCTAGCAGTGCTCAAGGAAGCATTGCTCTCTTCGTCAAAATTCTTCCCTCTAGAGACAGCTCCTGCTGAGAAATGAGTTCATGTGCATCACACACAGCCAGACTCTACTGAAGCAAGTTTAGAGAGTGCATCACTGAAAAGACCAGCTCTGTTTTACTGAGTATCTACTATACATCCAGAGCATACTGAGTCTTTAAATGTGCATGGTACTCCCATCGTGGTAAAGAAACAGTGGTGCACCTAGCACTACGTAAGGAAATATTTTCTGGGGGAAAAGGAGTATTCAGACAGGGTCTCATGTAGTCCAAGTTGGCCTCAGTTGAAGCCAAGCTGCCTGTAGCTGAGGCTAGGCTTGAGCTTCTGATCCTCCTGAGTCTTCATCCCCAAATGCTAAAATTATGGGCATGTGTACCACACCTGGCTTGGCCAAGTAAATCTTAGTGGTGCTGAAGGCTAACTATATTTCTCATCCAAGAGCCTCTGCTTCTGCACGGGACAAGGTTAAGGTGTCAGCTGGTAAGAAGGCCCCACTACAGCAGCACAGTGCAGTGTGGGGCCTTCTGCTCTGTGCCAGTTACAGCAATCTGTGACATGGAAAATGGGTTATTTTCAAATCCTTCCTGCAACCTGTCTTCTGAATCAAAATAAGTCAGTCATTTACTTTAAAACAATTACTATTTACTCAGTGAATGATTCTCTTCCCTCTCACTCATTTGTCCAAATTAACAGGAATTCTCAGCACAGCTGACTAGGAAGCTGACCTCCAGCCTTAAAGGAGAGGTCACTAATGTACCCGTATACAGCTCCTCTTATAATTACACTGTATAAAATACCACGTTTGAAGATGTATGAGGACAAAACATATGTAACCACACCTGAAATTACTCCTTCACAGAAGAAACTGAACATTAATTACTTTGTCTTAAAAAAAAAAATGTGTCTCACTATGTAGCTCTGGTTGGTCTGGAACTCACTATGTAGACCAGACTCACCTCAAACTCACAGGGATCTGCCTGCCTCTGCCATCCAACTGCTGGGATTAAAGGTGTGTGCTACTACCACACATAGCCATTAGTTACTTTAAAAAAATAAATAAATAAATAAATGAAGTGCTTATGGTATCACATGAAGACTGCTTCCCATGGTAAGTTACTGTGGAATCAGGACAGTGGAAGGAGCCAGGTGTAGTTACCTTCAGGCTGGGACGACTCCTCAGACTTATCATCATCCTCCAGCTTTTCTTCCTCGTCCTCTTCAGAGCCTTTCTCTGAGATGGACTTGGACCCAGGCTCTGCACTGCCCTCCGCCCCTTTGAGCTCACTCTTAACAGAACTGGCCTCAGCCTCACATTCCTGCTTGTTGTCCTTGGCTCCACTGTCAACCTCATCCTCTTCTTTCCCATTGGACTTCTCTTTGACAGGTGAGGGTTCAGATTCCTCTACCTTGCCTTCCACCTGCTCCGTCACCTTCTCATCCTGAGCATGAGCCGAGGAAATGACTGGAGGAGTCTGGCCAAAGCCCACGGCCAGAGCACTCAAAGAAGAGATGGTACCAGCCCCACGGTTCTGAGCAAAGCTTTTGTGTGCATCTAAGAAGGACAACTCAGGGTCATTGAGGATGTGGTAGTCTGTCCGACTGACCCCATGCTTAGCAGCACCCACCAGCAGGTCTCTGTCATGCCGTCCACACTCCCACCACTCAGGCAAGTCCAGGCTGGGCTGGCAAAGCTTCAGCCTATCACTCAGTTGTGGGTGATGCAGGACCTGCTCTCGGATCTTCCGCAGGAGCTCGATGCGATACAGAGTCCTGGATGCTCGTTCCTCTGTGATAGGCTCTATGATTGAGGCGAGGTCAGGCGGCTCTGTAACACGAAGCATGGTAGTTACTCTGGCAGGCCCCAAGCTCACCCTAACCTGCATGCATGCTGAGGTCTCTCAGCCCTGGCTGCCTAGCACACAGTGTGGCTAGTCATGTACCTACCATCATCAGGCTTGGCCGGCATTCGGCACACCCGCCTGCACATGGCCACAAAGCAGCTGAAGTATTTCTCCAAACTCTCGTCAGACTTTTTGTCAAGTCTGGCAAAGGCTCGGAATTGGTTCCAATCAAACTGCTGTTTCACAGGGTCAAATATAACCCCAAAGGTGGACACCACACGGTAAAAGTCAGCCTCTTCTCTTCTTGTCCACCTGTGAGAAACACGACATGGGTTCCCATCACACTTGAAGAAATGGGCATACAAGGGAGTCTTTCTTTTCCTCTGCTCTCTGGACCCTGTATCTGGTACTTATTTGGGGTTGAGGGGCAAACGTCTTTACGGCATCAAGCCTTTCTTTGACAGCCACTGTCTCACGTGACCACTGATTCTCCTGGGCCTGGTAGAGCAGAGAGAAGGGGATGCCCAGGGAGCTATGAGAAAGCTGAAGGACTCACTTTTGCCTTTTCTCAGATATAATAGCTTCCCTTTCCGCCTCCAGCGCTCTCACTTCCTCCCGAGGCCGCCGTCTGCGCCGGTCGGTCTTCATTAGGGCCTCTTGCCTCATTTGTTGCCTTTTATAGCTGCGCTGATAGGCAGTAATGAGCCGGCGCAGACGCGTAGTCAGGGTTGAAGTGTTGGGCCAGTAAAGCTGGCCTAGCTCAGCACTGCTCTCACTGTGCTTGCCTGGGGAAGTGGGAAAAGAGTTTTGAAATGTGTCCTGCAGTCACAACACAGAGAACTTTCCAACAACAAAAAAGATGACTCATTAGCATTCAAATGACAGGATGGCAAGAGTCATCCTGGTACCCCAGCTCCTAAATGCAAACAAGGAGTAACAGCAGTAAGGACCTAAAAACTATTTGCTTTTAATCCTTAGTGGAAGGAAGGGAAAAGAAATTTATCAACCTTACATAAAGAAAACCAGTCTCCCCTATAATGTTCTTAAAATAATAATCTTGAATGTAACAATCAGATAATTGTTGTCTAATGATTTTACATTTGGTAAAGGGTCAATAAAATGAACAAACCAGCAATATTTCAAATGAAAACAAATGCCCTCCCAATAAATACAAAGATTTAAAAATTTTTTTCACTAGACACCATGATTATAAGTAGATCAATCATCTTAATCAAAAAAGTTCTGTGAAAGAAATTTAATGTAATAAAAACCATAAATAAGAATAAAGATTATTCCTAAAAGAAGGGTCAGTGTGGAAAAGTGACACTTTAAGACACCATGGTCTGTGTGACACGAGACCATTACCGGGGCACCCGGCTCATCTGCTCTAGCTCATCAGCTCTCCTGCGCCCTTACCTGAGGCATGCATTTCCATGGACTCTTCCTTGTCCTCTGGGGGAGAACTGGCAAATTCCTTAAAAGCAATGCAAGAAACAGAGCTACTTTAATTTGGAATTTCATTTTTCTTTATTTTTTAATGAAAAGGCCATTATCTATAAAGTTTAATAAGTCTTATATTGGCATATAATACTTTACTGGCACTATAAAAGCCAATTACTCAAGTTCTTACATCTATTTCATCTTTGAATGGTGTTCTGGTTGGTTTATATTCTGGATCTTCATCTTCTCTATCAAATTCTCCCCTGTAGTTTAAAAAAAAAAAAGGTTTAAGTAAGAGGGAGGTGGTAGGAAAGAGTAGCACTCTACACTAATGTTACTTTTAGTCTGGTATCAAAACTAACTATCAGTGTGTAAAATATGCAGGTCAGGGGTGGCAGCAGGAAGACCACTGGGAAAAGGAAGCTTCAGACTATCTAGATAATGTACTTTGCTTATAACAGTCTTCGTGATATACAGATAAAAAACAGGGGTAAACATCAACTTCGAACCATAGTAAGAGTACACCTAAGAATTGAATCCTGCCAATAGATGTGATACTGACATACAGTTTATTAAAATTTTAGAATGTCCTTCTTACCCATCACCACCATCTGCTAGCATGTCTGTTCCTCTTTGCTCAGCAGCGATGGCCTTGGCATCAGGCATACCAACTCGTTCCAGAAAGCACAGTGCGGGGTCAGCTCGCATGGAATTGTACTTCTCATAGCCTGGGCCATGCCCACCAGCACACAAGAGGGCACACGAGAAACAAAGGAAAGTCTCGTCACTGTCAAAATCACAGCCCACCACAACACAGCCAGTTTATTTCTCAGGAAAGATTATCATCTGTGTTAAACTAACAAGACTCCTTTCAGTAGGACTTTCTAGAGAATGTTCATTCTAGGGAAGCTTTTGGGGACCAACTTATACTTCAGAATACAAACAGAAAAAAGATTCAGAATAACTATAGCATGCCAGGTAGGATTTCTGACCCTATTTTTCCCCAAGATCTAATTTTGCTTGACATTTAAAAGGCTTCATAATGTTTCTTTATGACCTCTGCAGGGGTACTGTGAGTCTACCCCCATCTTCCCTGAATAGCTTTGGTCCTGCAGGAACTCACATGGCTGGCTGAAAAATCCCCGTATATGTAAGGCCAGCGAACCTGTCTTATTAAGTTTAGGATGATGCATGTCAGTAAGATGACACTGTTCTCTCTATGGTTTTCAAACTGCAATTTGCTTTCTGACTGCCCAAGTTGACTAGATGGAAAATGGCAGATCCCAACAGTGCACTGCGGGAAAATGATTTTGAGGCTGAGCTCACAAAACGCGGCTGCAGTCCATAGGCAGAGCAGCACAATTCAATTAGGATGTGTACTACAACACACCGCTCCTAACTGCTGTAGAGCCGCAAGCCAAACTGTAATCATGAAAGGTTTTATAAGCCATCATTCTCCCCTTTAGTCAGGCTGGGCTGCTGAGAATACCTTCTCGACCTCCAGAGAATTGGGATTATAATCAGGAATCGCTCACTGTATATATCATGCCAGTTCTGCATCCCCAGCCTTTCAAAGTTAACAAGGCTGCATCCCACTCGGGGGAGCGACGAGTCCTCAGCACTGACATTTGTGAAATATTGCTTGGAACAAAGCCCAGGAGGCACTTGTACAGATTAATAGCAGAGGTTAAGCCCACCGTCCACTCTGACACTGGCTGGCAGAGTTAGCGAGAGAAGCCATTCTGGAAGCAAAGTTTAGGGAAAGCTATAGTACAACTTGGCTATTATTAAAACAAATATGGTTCGGCTTCTGTTTACAGCCAAGAAAGAAATGTTTTCTTCTCAAATACTCAACAAACATTCAAAAACAGCATCTGATATTTACAGTTCATATTAGATTTTTAGTACAGAAAAATGGTAGATGCCAAGAGTCCTTTGGAACTGTCCTCATTAATTTTATGACTTGGGAAAAAGAGTATGCAAAAGGTTCTAAATAAAGACAAAGCTATACCGTCAAGATGCATTTGAACAGAAGCATCTCTTACCATGTTTGAACACTCCAATTAAGAGGGATTTGTCTGCTTCCTTATCCCACCAATCTGCAGGAACTTCAGCATGGAAAGGTTCGGGGATCCACACGTCTGCATCACTGGGAAGAGCCATTTAAGTAAAATTTAAAGAAATTTTAGTACTTAAAATGATTTCTAATCTCAAGTAGTGAATACGATACACATGCTCTCCCGCAGTATCTAAGCATGCTGGGAAGAACCAGCAAAGGCGAAAGAAAGGGGATCAATCAGAAGCTCTCTACCACGGTCAGAAATGAGCCTTATCTCATGCTATCCCATTTTAAAGGTCACCTCAGAACGTCAGCCATTTTGTTCACATTGTTTCATACATAAACACACACCAACAATAACCCCATCCACATTCTCATCACATTCTCAAGCCCAAAGGACAAACATTTGCATTCAAGACCCCCCAAAAAGGAGGTGAGTTACTAATGGTTTGTGAAGGTTCTAAATACAACCCATGAAGTTTCCCAACTACCTGGGTTAGCTTGTGGGGGATCAGAACGAATGTACACTTGCACCAACCTTGAGTCAGCACCCTGGAGGATCTTATCCGCCTGGTCTCCTATCACTTCTTGCCTTAGGTAGTACAGCATGCGGACACGCAGCAGGACCCTGGAGAGGAAGACAGAGGGGGAAAAGTTCTTAACTTCAGTACTGTTTGCCAACAGTGGCTTTTGGCAGCTGCTGCTGTTCATCCATCATCCTGCCAAGGCTGATTAGCCATGCTGTATGGTAGGCTTGAAGCGTGACAGATGGTGGCACATAATCACCTCTGTGTGGTGCTTTCTGCTGGCTTCCAACAGGCCTGCCTGGCAACCGCTCACGCTGCACAGAGAGGGAGCGGGCTCAGCCCAGCCCAGGCGCACTTCATTTAGTTCTACCTAGTGCAGCTTGTGAAGTTTAGACACGTACCCTACCACTGCCTCCGAAGTATTGAAGCAAGTTTGTAAACAACTGAGCAGATGGCTTTCAGTAACTGTTCTGCTTCATTATCTCATAAAATTTCCTCAGCTGCTGCCTTAATACCATTTTTGGAAGCACATCAGAAGTTGTAGGAATAAACGAGATATAAAATCTGGTTTTACTACCTTACAATAAACCCTCAATATGGAATGTCAGGTTTTTCAGATTATACAACTTTACTTCTGAGAAAGGAAGATGGTGATGGGGGTGGGTACGAGGTGGGTCCTTACCCTACCAGGGGAATATTAGGCATTCTGACTACTTCTAACATATTATCAGGGTGCCTCAAGTTACAGTTTAAAGATAATATAATAAACACTACAAGATCAAAATGTGCTGAACTCATTGACACTCATTTTCAGTGAATCCATTTTAAAAACCTTTGGCATTATCCAGGCACCAGATTTTCAATCCTGTTTGGACTTCCTCAATGACTAAAACATGATTCTTTCAATAAAACCCACCTGGCATATACTACAGATCATCTCTCTACTCTGAACCCTGTTCCCTGCTAGACAGCCCAAACTGTGCATTCAGGACTGACACCTGAAGGTAACCTCTTGGCAAGGGTCAATCCTTACAGTCCTGTTTCCCAGGCTGTCACATACTTACATAACCCCTTGAACCAATATATCTCATTTACATACACTGGCTCACTTGGTCTTCACAACAGCCCTTGTGGGGCAAGTTCTGCTTTCCATGCTGCAAGTATGAATACTGATGGTAACAGAAGACGAGTGAGTCATAAAGCCAAGGTCACAGAGACACCTTGAACATGAGCACTCAGAAATAGGCCTCCTCATGCTACATCACACTGTCTCCAAGATACAGCGACTTTCCTCCAAAACATCAAAATAACAACTAGGGGCAGCTTTACCAAAACAAACTATTATCAACCAGACATCAACAGACATGCTGTGAGCCATTTACCCACAAATCCACTCATGGTCAATATGGGTTTTGGATGGGCAATGAGATTGCAAATATATAAATATAGGCCAAAGTAAACAATCTTTTTGGAAAATGCTCTTTTATGTTTCAAATTTTCTTTCTCTTGTTAACTCATACACTCAAACACTGACTTTGCCACACTGAACTAATGGAGGAAAAGCGACAGTGTGGCCAGCACTGTGCTTTCCCTCTGGTTAAACAATCTGTAGGCCAATATCTTCTTACACAGGAAGCTCAGAAAGGGCAGTTCCAAAGGAAATCCCCTCTACCTGTGGCTGGATTCTTTACTGTTCACAACAAACTTGATTCACAGGCAGGAAGCCTAATGGTTTCTCTTCGTTTTAGTAAACGACAGAGAGTTCAGTTCAGGACAATTTTAGTTATGTGGCGGCTTCTAGGAACTAATTGTGAGCATCTTTTTTTCCAGAGAGAAAATCAGCAGAGAGGATGGCCAGGACATAGCCCCTGATCTCAATAAGTTTGCTCTCTGTGACAGACAAGACTGGTAATAAACCCCCAGGCCTTGTCCACATTCCCCTGGTTGTCCTGCTAGTGACTGCTTCCTGATCAGTCCCAGGTCCACACAGTACTCAATAACCTGCCCTATGGGTTCCTTTCATCCTGTTTTGGTCCTTAGCTGGCTTCAAACTTGTAAAGATCAGTGGTCAGTAACTTTTTCTAGAATGTCCCCCAACTGGTTCTCATTTTCCACCTTAACACCAATACTTCCTCAATTTGGACAATCTCAAGGCATGATCTACTGGAAAAGGACAATAGGAAACTCATTCTACCTCAGAGGTGAGCTGGAAGGCATAAGGCATCGCCTGTCTTCTAAGACTGAATAGAAAGATGTGAAGAACCCCAAGGTCTTGTGTGTTAATTGGGGAGGGCTCCCTATGGAAGACTGTTACTGACAGGAGAATGCAAGTGAAAAACCACCACAGCCACACTGACATCCGGGAACAGGAGCCATTGTTCCCACAGTAAACCACTTCACTTCCTTTGTATGAATCCAGAACTCAGAAGGTTACTGACCCAAAGTTAAACCACAAAGACACAGTTTTCTGATAGCTATGATCAGGCTACAATTTTAGCAAGAAACACCATGCCACCGCAGTAAGTAACAAGTTTCAAACACACCAGATGGTTTGAGGTAATAGCTTGGAAGACCTCTGGGATCCTCTCGGGAACCTCGGGGGAGGACCTCGGCAGACCTCTGCAGTCAGGGAGACAAGGGTCTGCAGGGGTTGGGAAGAGTACTGCCCAACCTGCTCTGCTCTTGACTGAGAAACCTTAGGTAAGTTACTCAGGGATACCAACATTTCTGTCTGTTAAGTGGGGATAAAACAGAAAAACCACCAAGCACAGTGGTATGTGCCTGTAGTTCTAGCAATGCAGGAGGCTGAGCCTAGGATTTGAGAGCAGCAACAATGAAACCCTGTCTCAAAAAACAAATAGGGGCTGGGTGTGGTGGCGCAGGCCTTTAATCCCAGCACTTGGGAGGCAGAGGCAGGCGGTTCTTTGTGAGTTTGAGGCCAGCCTGGTCTACATAGTAAGTTCCAGGACAGCTGGAGCTACAAGGAGACCCTGTCTCAAAAAGACAAAAAAAAAAAAAAAGAACCCCACAACAACAACAAAAAACAAATAGGGACAGAGCTCAGTCAGTAAACTGCCTGCCTTCTAAGCATGAAGACATGAGTTTGATCCCCGGAACCTATGTGAAAACAAACAAACAAACAAACAAACAAAAAACCTGGGTGTAGGGATAAGCATTTGCAATTCTAGCACTGGGGAGGTAAACATAGGCAGGTCCCTGGGGCCCATTGGTTCAGCCAGCCTAGATGAATCAGCAAGCTCCGGGCCAGTAAGACCCTGTCTAAAAATAAATAAATAGACAGGTGATGATAGATAGATAGATAGATAGGATAGATAGATAGATAGATAGATAGATAGATAGATAGATAGATAGATAGATGATAGATAGATAGATACACACACAAACATGCATACATACATACATACATACGTATGTACGTACAAAATCATGGGCAGTATCTAAAGGAGGTGCACAGTAGCACATGCTTTCAATCCCAGCGCTAGGGAGGCTGAGGTAGGTGGACCTCTATGAGTTCCAGGCCAGCCTGGTCTACATAGCAAGTTCCAGGCCAGCTGGGGCTACACAGTGAGACTCTGTAACCAAAACCAAAATCAAAACCAAAATGACACTCAAGGTTTGGTCTCTGGCTCCTACATGCACCAAAACAGGTACACACACTCGCATACATATGTATACCTATCCACATATAACATACACACACACACACACACACACACACACACACACACACACACACACACACCAAAAATAAAAGGAAGGAAGGAAGGAAAGAAGGAAGGAAGGAAGAAAGAAAAGGTGTTACCCAGGAAATGGATGTGTAGCTCAGTGGTAGAGCATGTGATTAACATACACAAGACCTAGTAAATTAATAAATAAAAGAAAGCTAAGGGCTGAGGACATAGGCAGTGGTTAAAGTGTTTGCCCAGCACTTGCAAAGCCTGGGGTGTGATCCCCATCACTGTAATTAACATAGACTATTGTTGCTATTTGTTCAAAGAAAAGCACTGTCTATTCACATGCAGTCTCATCCAAATGAAATCCTGCCACTGGTAACTTTCCCAAGTCACACACTCCAAACACAGTAAGTCTGTTCAGTAGTAGTATAGCCCGAGCTACTGATTCTGACACAGGCAAGCCGAAGATGAGGCAATGGTCCACACACACAGACACCAGTTAAGACATAGTTGATAGAATTCTAAGCAATGAAATAATTTTAGATCCTGTATCTTTCAAATATTTGAGTTTCTGGAAATAAAGGTAAAGAATATAATTCTAAGCTTATAGGACCTAGCAGCTGAGATTGTACAAAAGCAAAAGTATGATGTAAACTCCACTGAGCCCCTGATGGAAGTACTCAGTTGAAAGTGGAGTCATAAAAAAAATCAACCATAATTATCTATCACATATGAACTGAAAACTTGTCATGTGCAATGTCCACAGCAGCATTAAAGGTGGAACAACCCAGGTGCCCATCCATGGAAAATGGATAAGCAAAGTGTGACAAACTTCATAGTACCCATCAGAAGGACCCTGACATTATGACAACATGGATGAACCTTGAACACTACACTAAATTAAATAAGCCAAAAATAGGGGATAAATATTGTGTGATTCCACTCATGAGGCAGTTAGATCACAATGAACAAATTAAACAGGACAGTGGCTACCAGAAGCTGAGGGCAGGGGAAGGACAAGCTATTGTTTAAGGGGTACAGACTGCCTATTGAGGGTGATGGCAGTTTAGATGGTGATGATCAGATCATGGCACTGCTCTCTTACAAATGTGTTTAAACGGAACACCACTATGCACTTCTTCACCACTGGTGGTCAATCATGGGCAGCAGGCCCATGACTTGACTGTGTTTTAGGAAGTCAACAGAACTCGTCTGCCCTCACCCAGTACCTACTTGTTGCAGTGATGCTTCAAATGCTTCTTGTAGCTGTCCTCCTGGAACAGGGCATCGGGGTTGCAGCTGGCCAGCCAGTCGGCATCCTGCACTACTGGCTGTGTGCTCTGGGCCTTGACCTTCTTCCCCTTCCGACCCCTCGGAACAGGGGCTGACAGACCTAGGAGTACCAGGGTCACAATCATGGAAGCCTTTTACACTGCATGCTACAGTGTCAGAGGCAGATACTGTAAGGGACACGTGAGAAAATGCAGAGTCTACATGGCCACTCTTTGTCAGGGCACAGTGTGAAGCTTCCCGTGGCATTCAGTGACCTACCAGAATGATTGAGCAGAGCTCGAGTACGGCCATCAGCTGTAGGTGTGATCAGGTCCCAGATGAAGCTTTTGATATTCTCATCCCCTCTGTAGTGGTTGAGGCAGTACACCAGGATGGTTCTGCAGATGGTTTCTACATCTTGCTCGGTGAGCTGACGTTTGTAACGTCCATGGGACAGGATGTCTGTCCAGCGGCCCCAGCTGGAAAGCAAAGATGTAGCATGTGGATGGAGCCTCTGACTGCGGATGTGGCCTCACCCTGACAGACAAGCCCCAGTACTGGGAAATCCTGGTATTACTTTACCTCCGGTGATAGAAAAGCAATGCAGGTATAGATGGGCATGAAACACACCTCTTTACAGAGGAAACCATACGTGCATTGCTTCTAAAAAGCCAAGAGTTGGATGGTCATTGAAATACCCACATGGCAAATGGCTTTCCTCAGCAGTTGGCATCTGTGCCTGTCATTTTCAGGAGACGGTGCAACCTAGGGACCTGGAAATTGTATACTATGGTTCCTTCAACTACGGTCTATATGTATCAACAGTGACCAATCTTTGGAGATGAAAGAAGGCTTGCAGTAGGTGTGACTACTACAAATCAGGATATAATGCTGAGGAGTCCAGCTGCAGCAACCCACCTCAGAGAGATGCCACAATAACTAGTGAAGGGCTATGAAAAGCTCTGTGGCTCTTTTACAACAGGGAGTGGTAACTTCCAAGTCAGGAAAGATGCTAAACCAACTTTCAGGTCCTCCCAGGAAAAGAGTTAAGGACAGGGGCAAACAAACAATACACTGCCCCTGACCACCAGTTTGTTTTCACAGTCCCAGGCTACAGTGTGGTATTGTTTCCTCTCTGAGGTACAATACAGCCAACAGGTGCAGAGTGCAGTTGCTGTCTGGGTGGTGCCTTCCCTGTGGTGACCAAGCCACCAGGGCAGAGTTCACCGTGCTGCCTTCAGTGGTAATTGGGAGTAGTGCTTTGTGGGAACTCAGACCCCATACAGAGGGCAGAAAATATCCTCCCCCATGCCTTGCTTTTACCCTGGCCTGATCTCTTGCCACCCCCCGTTCTTCTACCTCTAGTGAACTTCTCTTACATTCTTCACTCCCAAGGCTGCCACTCACCTCCAGGCCTCTGGACTTGCTCATCTCTTCCCCTTCCTTATACCTCATGGATTCCTGACATCCACCAACCACAGACTATATATGTTCTGTAGGATTCCCTCTGTGAGTCCTCCTAGATCAGAAGTGGAAGGTAACACCTGAACAGGTGCATGCTGGGCTTCCACACTCCATGAGCCAAGTGCTACCCATCAAAGTATCCTCACAGCCAATTTCTCTTTCTTCTCATCTGCCTACCTTGGGCTGTACCTGCCTTGCTCACAGAACCTGAAAGTACCCCAGCTCAGTGTCAAGTACATGTAGTTGTTTGATCAACAGTGATGACTGTGGGAAGAGGGGAAGGTTTGACTGAAAAACAGAATATAAATACACTGAATGTCCTTCTTAGACTCAGGAGTTACTGGTATGCTCTAGTCCTGAGATTTTCAAGAAAATTCATAAGTACTAGGATCACCCAGCTGAAACACAGAAGCAGGAGTAAGCAGAAAAGGGCCCTGACTGGGAGAGGCTCTGCAGAGAGGCAGGAAAACTACCTAACATGCGCTATGACTAGCAGGACAGAGCTGCTGAGGAACAAGATAGGCTTCCACAGGCATTCACGCATTCTTCACAAGCACTTATGCAGCACTGTGTGTCTGTGGCACTAGCTCATGCGCTGAAGACAGGGAAACAGCCCTTGTCCTCAAGAAACCACTAAGTGGGATTCCATCCAGAGAGAGGGGGCCTCAGAAATCATGAAATGACATGATGGATTGCATGGGAAATGCAAGCCAGGGTGCAAAGAAGGCTGTGTGGGGTGCAACAGGGAAGCAGACATAAGGCTCATCAAGTCTGAGGGTAGGGTATGCACCTTCGGCAGTAGGAACAGCCCACGCACAGGCAAGAGATGAGGAGGAAAGGAGAGCAAGAGAGGAAGCAGGGTGTCCAAACAGGCCTTCGACTGCCCATGAAGAAGAACCAGCATGCAAGGCAGGGCTGCTGCAGAACTCTGCGGGCCTCAGACATCATTTCCTCTGCTTTGCACTAATGGTGATCCGCTGGAGAAACCACCACAGGCAGGACATCGTCAGATCAGCAGAGAGACTGCTTTGGTAGCAGCTTTTACTTTAATGGAATCTGCCAAAATCTGTGAGGGAACTCTTATCTACTGATTCAGGTATTTCCTGAACACCCTGCCATTCAAACTGCTATGGGGCACCACACCACGAGACCCAAGTAGATGTGGGTCCTGTTGTGGGGAGTCAGGCTTGGGAAGAAGGAATCCCACACATTCACAAAGTTCAAATGGTTTCTTATGCTGCAGATGAGTTGGAAGAAAGATATACAAGTAAGGTCACTGCCTTTGGTAATTCTTTATAGTTGAAGACTATTAAAAGATTACTATAGTCATAAAGTTTATGTGATGGTAAAGTGCAAAGAGGTTTTGCAACTTTAGGCTTTGTTTCTAGTTTTTAATAATCTACAATAAACTGGGTCTGCCATAATTCCTAAGGTACTAGCTAGTACTCCTGACTTCAAGGAACTTTCTCTCTATACCTGGGAAGATCTCAATTTGGATCATATTAACCGAATGACCCACAGGCTGTAGAAAGTCATTTCAGATACATTTGTTTGGCTACACTAAGACATGACATGCAGATCTCTCAACACAAATGGTTTTGCTATGACAACTGGAAATTTATTGGTAAAATAAAATCAGACTTCCAGGATCAATCCACCTTACCCGTAGACAAGCAGGTTCTTTTCCACTCTGAAACACTCGCTCCGGGCATAGCCCTGTGACTTATCCTGAGGGCGCCGTGGCTTTGCACAAGGCTTTTCTTCAGCCTCACTCTCTAGGTCGGAGAACTCCATGAGCTCGTCCTCCTTCACGGCGCTGTATAGCCTGGTCTGCTTTCTCACCCGTGGAGTGTCGATGACCAGGTTGTTCTAACAAAAGAGCAAATGCACTTGAAACTTCAGAGCAACCCTTGAGTCAGATGAGGTAGGAGTCTGGATGGAATTCTCACTCACCCTCCCATTTAAGGCATCAATGTCCAATTCAGCCTTCTTAGCCCACTTTTGCCAGAAATTTGGATCATCCAAGGAAATATCTGTCCTATTTCCAGATGCAACAAAACTGGCCTAAAAGAAGAAAAAACTATCTATTACTTTGAGACACTTTTCTCAGTCAGGATGCAAAGCAGCTTTCTAAATCCAGTCACTCAAATGTGTGTGGTCCTCCTCTTGTGCTAGACAGCATGGTGGATGGGAATGAGATGAAAGACTGTCCTTCAATACAATTCAGTCTCCAGGGGTGAATCCACACTAGGAAGCAACTGCTCACACTGCAGCAAGGTAAGATAGGTGCACTTGTAGAGTACACACAAGTGCAAGTACTGGAGAAGGGCCCTGAACCGGCTCTAGCAAGGCACCAAGGAGCTGATTTTTAAGGACTCCCCTAGAAGGTAATGCCCAGATCGTGTTTTACAACAGTCATAAAGTAAGAAAGCTGGTGGAAATGTTCATGGCAGAGCATGCCCAAAGGCCCAGGAGAGGACCAAAGATGAGGGGGCTCAAGGAAAAGCAGCCATGGGCAAGGTGATGAAGGCAGAAGCTAGGGAAAAGGGTCTTGTGTGTGCTGGTAAGAGTCTGGCCTCCATCCCAGGAAAGGTATGAACTATTTGAAAATAAGGGTACTCTCAAGATGGAAATGACCATGCCTAGAGTCACCTGGCAGAGAAGTGATAGTAACATTCTATCACTGTAGTTGACACAAGAAATAATAAAGAGTAAAAATAAAAATCAAGAACTAGAGACTTCCTAGAAAGACATCCATTAAAAGGCAAAATCCATGGAGGTAGACTGAGTAGATGCAACATCAAAGGGTGAGGAAGCAGGAAAGTCCAACTCTGGTATCTGTGTGTCTATCCACTCAGGTGGACAGACCGGGGAGGGGAATCTGGTCTGTGTGCATATACAGTGAGGGGTTGAAGACCAGGATTAAGTTTAGCCTTACATATACTGAATTTTTAGTGTGTGTTAGACTTGAAGAAAGAACCTGCAAGAGGCTGAAAGGTGTGAGTGAAGGCAGAGAGCCTGAGAAGCACCTCTGCAGGCCGCAGCCACAGAGGCCTTCAGCCTCTTCCTCACACCACACATGGAGCAAGGCTCAAAACCTAAGTGAAGAGGAAAAGCTATAAAAAGTACAGAATAAAACATAGGGTAAATCTTTCCTTGTTTGCATTAGACAAATCACACACAAGGAATAAAAGGAAAAAAATGGTAAACTAGGCTTTGTGCACACACCATTAAGAAAATACCTGCAGCCGGGTGTGGTGGCACACGCCTTTAATCCCAGCACTTGGGAGGCAGAGGCAGGCAGATTTCTGTGAGTTCAAGCCCAGCCTGGTCTACATAGTGACTCCCAGGACAGCTGGGGTTACAGAGAGCCCTTTCTCAAAAAGACCAAAAAAAAAAAGAAAACCTACAATCATATTGTCTGGCCCAGAAATTTTCTCTAAAGCATGTAAAGATCTCTTAAAACTCAACAGATGATCAATAACCCAAAAAAATGAACAATGGGTTTTGAAAAGACAGTTTTCCCAAGATGATCTGTATCTGTCCAAGCAGCATATCCAACAGCGTACAACATCATCAGTAACATGGAAATACAGCCCTAAGAAGGAAAGCACTTCATACCCACTGGACAGCTGCAACTAAAAGGTATTGGTGAGGATATGGAGAAAATGGAGCTCTAACGCACTGCTGGTTGTAAGGGGGTAAGGTACATCACTTTAGAAAACAGACTGGTGTTCAACATCCTTAACCACCAGGGAAATGCAAATTAAAACTGCTCTGACATTCCGTCTCACCCAGTCAGAATGGTTATAATCAAGAAAACGAACAACAGTTGCTATCGAGGATATAGTGAAAGAGAAACATTTATTTACTGCTACTGGGAGTGCAAACATGGATAGGTACTATGGAAGGCGGTGTGGCACCTCTGCAAAACACTAAAAATAGAACCACTACACAACTATATGTAACTATCCCACGCCTGAGTATTTATGTGAAGGAAGGACTCTAAGCCCTGCAGACACCTGCACATCCATGTTGATAGCTGCACTATTCACAAATGCTAGGAAACAGAACCAACCTATGTGTCCATCAACAGATGAATGGATAAAGAAATGAGGTGTCTATGCACAATGGAATTTTATTTAGCCATAAATAAAAATAAAATTATGATATTTGCAGGAAAGTGGATGGAACTGAAAATCAGTTTGTTAAGCAAAATAAGCCAGAGTCAAAAGGACAAATATATGTTCTCTCTCATATACAAACCTAAATTAAAAAGTGTACGCGCGCGCGCGTGTGTGTGTGTGTGTGTGTGTGTGTGTGTGTGTGTGTATAGGTGAAGTGGGATCATGAAAACAAAGAGACCTTAAAGAAGAGGGTAGAGAAAATAATAGCTACATGTGATATGAAGGCAGAAGGGGGCCTGTTTGAGGGGAGGAAGGGAGCCAACAGAGGGGATGCAAAGGGTGTGGTGGAGGGCGGCGACAGTGTACAATGACACATAATGTATGAAAGTGCCAGGATAAAACCCATTAAATGAATGCTAACTTAAAAACTAAAAAATATTAAAGGAAAGTGACAGTCTGTTAGCTGTTCAAGGGGCAAAACACGTACGCATGAGACTAGGTTCAATTCCCAGGAGCAAGAAAGAGTCAGAGAAAGAGAGATAGAGCAAAGAAGGAATGTCTCCTAGCAATTGCTTCTGGCTATGCCAAAGAGAAAGAAAACATGTGTTCATGCAGAAGCCAGTAGGTAAGTGTTCATAAAAATGTTCATAAAAATCCCAAAGTAGAAACTATCCAGAATTCATATCAATTAGCAATGGATAAATGATCTAAATGTACATTAATGTACATTATCAACTGGCCACCGTGTGATACCCACACTGGAGAACACTGCAAGCAAAGGAAAGGAATAAATGACTGACACATACTGCAACATGGATGAACCTCAAAAACATCATGGAAGTGAATGAAAGCACACAGAGAAGACCACACATCATATGACTGTATTATAGTATGTCCAAAGGAGGCAAATCTATAAAGTACATGTGGTTTCCAGGGCCAAGTGTGGTGAGAGTGTTAGGGACTGAGTGCTAATGGGCGAAGAGGGTCTTCTGAGGTGATAGGAAAATTCCAAACTTAGGACTGTTCTGACTGCTGCACAGCCTATAATCTGTCAAAGGCATTGACTTTCATACTTTAAAAAGGTGAATTTTATGGTAAGTCAGTCACAGTTCAACAAAGCTTAAAAAGAAAAAGAGTGATCCTGGAGTGCTGGTGGCTGGAACAATGTGCAGGTGATGGCTCAGAAGTGGCTCTCATGGTCAGGGGCTCAGAGCATCCTTGGCCATAGCAGGTTGGTTATGGGGAACAGGAGGCAACTGGAGCAGAATATTATGGTATGCATTTTAGTTGTACAGAGAGTTGTAGAGCTAAAGCTAGAGTGGAAAACAGAAGAAAGATTAAATGTGGGAGTGCCTTGATTCTTAGAGACTGTTTTGGGAATTGGGGTCTAGGAGAGAAGAGGGTATGAGGATAGAGCTAGATTCAGAATGTGAGAGGATGGGATGAAGACTACACATGAACAGGACCACAGAGGCTCCCCAATATACAAAGAATGATTTGTATTGAGGATGCCCAGGGGAGCTAATAATTCATTAATTCATAATGAAAAGCAAATGTTATGGATACATCTTGTGAGTCTTTTCATAAGGTACGCTTCACGAGCATTAATAAAAAGCTGGCACTTTGGATGGATTCATACCTTAGCAAATGTGGAACCTTTTCCTTCGGATTCAATAGTAATAGTGTGGGTTCGCCGAAGCAGAATCTGGTCAATATCCTCTTCACAGAACTTAGACCCTTCATCCTCCTCATCCATAAGTGCACCATAAGCCCCTTTTCGTAGAAGATCCTCTATTTCTTTCTTAGAAAGCTGTTGTACCTATTGCAGAAAAGTTTTAAATATTCGAAGTAATTCAAAATTAAAATAGGAACTAGATGTCTTCATTTTCTCAAAGACATTGATTTATAACAAAGGAAAAATGCAACAAAATATGCTTAAAATAATGAGATAAAAATAATCAGATGCTCAGTAATTTCTTGCAATGACCCAGTTACAGAGGGAGCTAGGACAAACATGTGGCTGGGCAGTGTCATCTTACCCCATTGGTGGCATTTTCTCTTCCACTCATGGACTGTAACACAGCTTTATCCAGACCAAGCTTCAAACTGGCCTTGTCAAACATTTCCCTTTCATAGGAATTTCTTGTAATCAGCCTGTAGATTTTCACAGATTTGCTCTGTCCTATTCTGTGACATCTAGCCTGAGCCTGGAAGGGGGAAAAAAAAAAAATCAATGGCTGTTGCAATGGAATACATGGTTACATTCTCCCTAAATTCATATGTTGAAAAGCTCATCCCAATGTGAGAGATTTCAAGGTGGAGACTTAGGAAGTAATTAGGTCATGAGGGTGGTGCCCTAATGATGGGGATTCATGTTCCTATAAAGAGGCCGAGGCTGAACTTATTCCTCAGCTACGTGAGCAGGCAGCAGGAAGACAGCTGTCTGTATAGCAGAGTTTTTTTGCCAAGAACCCAATCTCGCTTGCATCCTGAACTTACATTTCCAACCTCCAGAACTCTGAGAAATTTGTGATTATTTTTCAAGCTGCCCAATACAGCTACCAAAGAAAGACACGACTCACCCATTAGTTATGTGATTTCTGCTCACATTATTAACTGATCACTAGTTGATTTTTTTCTGCAGCATGAGTCAAAGCCTGAGCAATGCCACACTAGCTTACTGGTTTGATTGGTCATCACTGCAGAGAGGAGGTGCCAAGAAGAGTCCTTTTTTACTTACCTGGAGGTCGTTCTGGGGATTCCAGTCTGAATCAAAGATGATGCAGGTATCAGCAGCAGTAAGATTAATGCCTAGACCTCCTGCCCTCGTACACAGGAGGAAAACAAACCTATCAGAATCAGGTTTGGAGAACCTGTCAATAGCTGCCTGGCGGAGGTTGCCTCTGACTCGGCCATCAATTCTTTCATATGGGTACCTAGACGGACAACAAGGAGGCCTGTCAAACAGCATTCTTGCTCCTCTTTTGCTCTTAGGTACGTATTACACTACGGACTGTACACTCACATGGTAGTTTTATTTTACTTCCTCCTTGGGAAATAGTCAAACTCTAAAAGTAGCTGACCCTTCTAACAGAAAGATAGCAAATAATTTCAATTTTAAGTAAGAACTCTTCACCCCCATTTGAACGAAATGAGGGGAAAACTGTCCACAAAAGTATGTAGTGGCCTCCTGTAAGCCATCATGTCAGATGCCTGTATGTATAACTATGGTTTTAAAAGGGCGCTGTGATCCATTTTTTCCATTCCGTCATCTCTACCATAAATGTCACTTCTAGGTGAACCTCTCAGAGCCCTGTCCAGGGCAGCTTTTTCTCCCCTTTCTGTTGTTGTCATGCGGTGGCCTCACCGTCTCTGAATGAGGTAGTCTTCCAGTATGTCCAAGCAGCGCACCATCTGGGAAAAGATAAGCACCCTGTGGCCACCAGCCTTCAGTTTTGGCAGTAGCTTGTCAATCAGCACTAGCTTGCCAGCAGCCTGGATCATTGCCTGGAGCTGAAAATCTGGAGACTCTGCATTGTGTGTTTCTTTAAACTCTTCCAAAATTTTCTCTTCAGCACCTGCAGAGATTGGACGGCATAACATGAATACCGTAAAAGGTTTTTATTACTAAAAACAATGGATTTTCTTTCAAAACCCAACGCAAACTGCTGGAAGCAGAACATTCCACTCATGTTTATGACCAAGAATCCACCCACTTACTCAAAGTCAGGTCTGCCCAAAACCATACTCCTACAAAAGGAATCAAAGTTTTAGGCACCATACACTGAGGCATTTGGGGAGAAACCCACATTTTCCAACAAACAAATGTTTGCTATCTATAAAAAAAAATGAATTTCAACAACAGACTGTCAGGCCAGAAGTGGCAGAAACAAGCCAAGGGCCAAATACCTCAGAAAATCTGGATCCGAATTGCTAAAGAAATGAACTGCTTACTAGCTGACTACAAACACAAACAACAAAATCTGTTGTGAAACTAAGAAAACAAAGAATCAAATCCTAATGATGTATACGGGCTGTGGTTTGGGTCTACAACTGAAGAGCAGTGTTATCAAGGGACTGCAAACATGAAGTTCATTTTCTAGACAATCTTTGGGGATTTTGTGGGAAACCTGAACACACATCTTCTCTAATCCCTAGTAGCTCCCTCCATATTCATTTCCATCTGATAACATCCTAAAATGTACAAATTCCAGCTTGAATTATTTAAACCTTCTGAAGCTGAAAACAGAACCCCCTCTAAGTATTTGATACAAGGTTTCCTTGATTAATTTCTTTGTCCTCATTGCTTCACATGCATTTTGCTTGGGCAAAAACTTGTATGATTAAAGAGGAGCCTCAAGAACATGGCACGTTTCTAAGAATGAAGCCTTATCACACTGCCTCCCTTGATCCCTCACAGTCAAATTTAGGAAGCAGCAGGTGGAGTTTCCTTCGGTGATCTGACCACCTGGCCTCTGGAGCTCCTCAGTATACAGACGTTTACTCCTCTCCTCCCACAAAGGATGGGCTCACTGTTCTTTAGAAAGCATAACAAACTCAACCACCCAATGGGGTCATTTCCCAGCTTTAAACTATGCCTTCAACCAACCCAATGGGGTCACTTCTCAGCTTTAAATTGTGCCTTCAACCAACCCAATGGGGTCACTTCTCAGCTTTAAATTGTGCCTTCCTGCCACTGGTTTTAAACAGGCAAACTAATGATACATAAGACAGGGACACAGAAATCACCAAAGGTTTTGAAGGTTGGGTCAGACAACCTTAGGTCACTGCAATCACTTGGATGCCACTTCTAAAAGCAGCACAAGATGGGACAGAAGCAACAATCCTGTTTCCATTTAAGGATGGTTGTGGAACTGTCCTTAGGGCATGGTCATATGCAGAATACAGCTTGTTAACTCAGACTCTGAGAACTCACTAAAGACAGAGTAAAGTCACTTTATGATTGAGGCACGCACCAGGCCTTTCACAGAGCACAACCTTCCCACAAAAGGAAACTGGCAGAACGTACCAGCTCTTTTACAACTATCTAACCCTTATTTCTACTTTCACGTGAACAAAAAGCTAAGATTCAGAGTTTTTTGGTAAGTATGGAAATAGGCCAAGGGTTTATTAGGAAAGGGTAAAGAACAAAATATTGTTTAAGGGCACTAGCAAAAATTTTCTTGAATGAAAGTGATGACTCTCAAAATATGAAATTTGGAAACTCAAGTTCTAGATTCAAGAAAAGGCTCTTAAGAAACAGGAAAGAAATTTAAAGTGACATAGTACATTAGCTCTTTAAAAAGTATATTCTTTGGTATATCACATTGTAAGATGTTTACAATTTAGAAATGGACATTTTAAGACATCTAGGAATTCTTTATCCACAAGACTTATACCCCATAATTGAAATGAAATTAAATGTTTTGGTAGTTTAAAATAAGTTAATGATCAGTGAATATTTTTCAAAAATTAGATTTTTCATTTTGATAAAGTAAATGTCAGAAATGCTTAAATCATTTAAAATAAAAATTGAAATATAAATAATTCAATGCTACCAATAATTTATCTTTAAAATATTTTATTTATTTTATTTTAATTATGTGTATATCTGTATGTGTCCATGTGCAGATATGCACATGAGTGCAGGTGCCCACAGAGGCATCAGATCCCCCTGGCATAGCTGCTTGGAAATGGATTCAGGTCCTTTGCAAGAGCAGCAGCTGAGCCACCTCTGCAGGACCTATACTTTCTTATTAGAATTAAAAGGAAAACAAAATGTATTCTTTTTTGGTAAAAATCTTTGGAACTGATGGGTTTTATTAGGAATTCAGGTTCTTTAAGCAGCAAACAGTTTATTCCTAATACTTCATTTAAAATATTATCAACAGGGCCAGGCATGGTGGCACACATTTTTTTTTTCTGGACTTTTTGAGACAGGGTCTCCCTCCAGCTGGCCTGGAACTCACTATATAGACCAGTCTGGCCTTGAACTCACAGAGATCTGCCTGCCTCTGCCTCCCAAGTGCTGGGATTAAAGGCATGCACTACCACGCCTGGCCCAGTGGCACACATCTTTAATCCCAGTGCTCAGAAGGCAGAGGCAGGCAGATCTCTATGAGATCAAGGCCAGTCTGGTCTAAGTAGTAAGTTCCAAGCCAGTTGGGGCTAGTAAAAGACCCTGTCTCAAAAAACCAAAAAATAAATAAATAAATAAATAAATAAATAAATAAATAAATAAAATTATCAGCAAATATATGGCATTTATAATTCTTCTAGTGCTGTATTTATTATGGCAATGTGGAAGAAAAGCTAGGGAGCCTGTTACAGAGCATGGCAATCTCATTCAGCCTTCTGATATCACAAATTTTCAAAATTACCAATTACAGAATTCCCCTGATGTTAGATTTGAAAACATGAAGTGGATATGGGTTATGATAAACCAAACGACTTTGCTGGCTCTGTCCTAAAGTACACTATGGCTGATATTGCATTTACCAGTGTGCTTATTACCAAAGGCAACTTCAAATAAGGGTGTCCTCACTGATTTAAGCCTAGAGTTTTTTCATTTCCACAGTCACTTTCAGAGCAGTGACTGTCATGTCAGGTAGCTATATTAGCCATTAACAAATAAGAAAATACTTAGTTCCTGAAGATTACCAGAAAACAAAAAAGATACCGTTAATTTTTTTTTTCTCTAAAACACATTTCACCAGGTAAGTCCTATTTTGTTTCCCTTTCCCACCTATCTTCTCCATTATTCCTTCCTTGAACAGTAACAGTGACTCAAGCCACCTCCATCCATCAGGGGACTTTGGACATAGTTTCATTATTCTTACTCTCATGTTAGGAAATAAAATTCCATCCAAACAATGCTTAGGCCAACACTAGTAACTCTATTCATGCCATCCAGTTAACTGCCCAACCTTTAGCAACACTGACTGAGTGCCTATACTATACTGGACACTCTGCCTCCCACCACTCTCCTAGTTCCCCCTTGTACCTGTCCTCCATCCTAAACTTGGGCACAACAGTGCTTGTTTTTCAAACCTGCAGAAGAATGCACTGCGTGGAATAGCGGGGATTGAACGGGGCAGCTTTCCTCCATCATGACCAGTACATAGCAACTTAATCTCTAGTATTAAAGCTTCCTTATAAATACTGATAACCATATAGAAAGATGGTTCCATGAAGGGTGACACTTCAAGATCCTGGACATGAAGCACCCCTATGGCAACCTCTGTGAAACACAATGTCTCCCTCAGTGATCTGGGCAGCTACATGCCTAGTGTGTACCTTACCTATATTCTTCTAAACCGTATTAGAGGTATAAGGTCCCCTGCTTAACAGATACTCTGTAACTGTCAGAAGACAGTCAGAAGAGCTGACCTCAGGGTATGACCAATTAGAACAAATACCACAAATGTCAGGCCTCAAGCAGTCCTAAGAGGCTCTGGATGAACAAAGAAACTATACAAGAGCAAAGAGCAAGCAGCCATGGGAAAAACCTATTGGCTATGTTTTGGGGAAAAATCCTAGCAACGCTCAGTGCATGAAATGAATGTGAACAAGCACAGAGCACACGGTGGCACTGGGGTGGCCATCTTATCATGGTGCTGAGCTCCTGTTATACACATCCTGCCAGTACCATCTGGGTCTTCAGGGAGTTCCCCCTTTTCCTCTTCTTTCCCACTGGGCATTATTATTTATTTTCCTTTTTACAGGTTATTAAATGCAAAAGTGTGTGCGCGTGTGCATGTGCATCCTCTACTCATACCAGTATTTGCCCTAAGTCCCAACTCACCAACAAGCTGGCTGAGAGCACAGTGGCCTTATAAGCTCATCAACAAGATGTGGTTAGTAGGTTGGCAATTAAGCATGGGATCATAATTTGATACCCTCTTTAGAAGACAAAGCTGAAAAAACTACTTTTTAAAAAGGAGTTCACAGATGTCACGTCAAAGTAACAGCCTCAGGTTCTGTGCCCTGAGCCATCTCCCAGGAAGAGGCTACTTTCTGTACTATGGTAACAAGGAGTTCTATATCCAGGGTGATGGATAGGTATGGATGTGAAATGGGAAGGTTAGCAAATTTTTGGATGAGCTGTCCTGCATGATTTGTTAAACAGAAGCAGGCTTTGTTCCTTCTTCCCTAGAAAGGAACCCAACTGCACTGCTAGCCAACTAGTAATTGTGCACAAGCACCCCAAGTTCGCCTGCCATCACCATCACAATATTAACTGCTGCCCAGAACATAAACACAGCCCCCAAGCTCATCTCGATGCTTGTCTGTCTGTCCTTCCTCCCACCCTTTCTATGCTGCTACACTGATCACTAGTCTCATCTCTTCTTTCTTTTTGGTTTTTGAGACAGGCTAGCCTCAAACTTGCTATGCAGCTGAGGAGGCCCTAGAACTTCTGATCTTCTTGCTCTACCTCCTGAATGCTGGAATTACAGGTATGTGCCACCATGCTTGGCTATATGCAATGCTTGGGATGATACTCTGCTTTCCGCATGCAAGGCAAGCACTCCAACAACTAAGCCACACCCTAGTCCCAGAGTTAGATTTCTTTTTTAAAAAATGTATTTAATAACCACATACTTAGAAGAAGCATTTAATTCCAACAGCATTGACATATTCAATAATAATTTCCTGAGCTAAGATGCATCTCTTTCAAAATTGGCTGAAAATTTTTAGGTTTACAGCTAAATTATTACAGTTATACAATACTGTACTCAGTATAAACCCTATAAGACATAAAATTAAATGAGGTTTT